CATGAAAGTGTACCGGTGTAGGACGGCTGGTGTTGTGGCCTTGCTGCTGGTCTGTTTCTTCATGTTCAAGTTGGTCTGTCGGCCTGTCCCGACCTGTCACCAAGTACCGAGGGAACACAGCGAGAACCAGAGACTTAGAACAGGGAGTAAAGGGACCAGGTACATGGATTCATTGTGTTTACCGAAGAAAAACACATTGTTTTTGCTCTGTTTCCTTTTCTTCTCCAAACCAATGAGGTCAATGACATGAACCAGACGTCTGTCACCATGGTAACTAGTGTTTGGTTACATCATCTTGCAATTTTAAAGCAGGAGGGATTTAGACTCCTGTCACCATATATATGAATGTGTTTGAGTAAGAATCTGAACAGAGCAGACCATATGCGAAGGTAAACATTATGCATTTGCTTTGCAAATGTTACCTTTCTAGATAATTTTTATTTTCCATCATATTTATACAGGGTTGCCCACTCAGTGATAACGCTGCTTTTCAGACAAATTACTATAAAGAAAAGAAGTATTCTTACTTGTCGTTGTGTTGCCCTAACATTCTATACGTGATTTCTGTACATATTCGTGGTTTGGGCGTTATGATACGTTAAAGACTAGAAAGGCCAATATTTGCTTTGGAGCAAATACAGCGATGGGTTCACAACATTTTACGACATGGCAGGGAAAGAATGAGAAACACAAGGGAAAACAATGATTTACATTGATATAACTATAATATGAAGTAACATACAACTAAAACAACAGTTGGATAGCTATTCCCTACTTTATTGGTTAGGATTTTTAATTGCATAATGCAAACTGTTGATTTTCAAAATAAAAAAAAACGTTCATGCCCCGCATTCCAATGCTGGAGCAGGAAAGCTTGAAATACCTACCAAAACACTTGAATACAGACATACTGTTAGTATGGAAATGCTCTGTGCAGGTGTTAATCAAGTTAAATCCCAACAGCCAATCAGCAAGAAATGCTCTGTGCAGGTGGAAATGCTCTGTGCAGGTGTTAATCAAGTTAAATCCCAACAGCCAATCAGCAAGAAGAATAGAGGAAAGCTGCATGCCTATTGGTTGATGCCCTGCATTCCATTGTGATGACTCATGCCCAAACGTGGTAAACACTGCACACTAACACAGTAATACATTTGCTATAACACAGCAAAAAACTCAAATAAAACCATTCTAAAAACCATTCACAAAAATTAAAAAAAACGCCTAGGGGTATTTGCCCACTGTACCTCCATACCAAATTTCAGGACCTTAGGCCCCAAAATGAAGAAGCTGAATCCATTTAAAAAATGGCAGAAGAAGGAGAAGGAGAAGAAACACCAGAAAAAGCAATATGGGTTCACCACACACCACTTCGTGGTGTGGTGAACCCATAATAACCATATTTAGGTAGTATGGAAGTATGCCTGGGGACATCTTAAAAAATAGTTAAGTATGGTTATTGAATTTTTTTGGTAGGTACCTTGGTGCAAGACAATAATTTATGCAAATTTAACACATTTTCCACATACAGGCAAACATACCTGCTTTGGTGCTGAACACTATCCACATACACGCACTGGTGCTAAACACTATACACATACATGCAAACAAACCTGTCCTTGGTGCTGAACACATCCACATGCAGGCATTGGTGCTAAACACTATACACATACATGCAAACATTCCTGTCCTTGGTGCTGAACACTATCCACATACACGCACTGGTGCTAAACACTATACACATACATGCAAACAAACCTGTCCTTGGTGCTGAACACCATCCACATGCAGGCATTGATGCTAAACACTATCCACATACAGGCAAACATTCCTGTCCTTGGTATTGAACACTATCCACATACAGGCAAACATGCCTGTCCTTGGTGCTGAACACTATCCACATTCAGAATAAAACAACAAAACACTAGTACTGATGCTTTGATATTTGGATTTTGCGCTAAAAAGTTACAGGCCTATGGCGGCTGTTCTGAAGATGCGGCGTTAGTACGATTCTCTCATCATTTTGATAATAAAGTTAGAAATACGTACGGTGGGTGAGTATCGTAGTTTGTAAGCAAATTCTTGTAATTTTTTCTCCAGCAGAGTAAGCGTCTCTAGCGGTGGCTGCAGAGAGAAGGTAAAGAACGTGGTGTTTCTAAAAGTCCACAAAGCTGCGTCCACAACCGTGGCGTCCATCTTCCAAAGATTCGGCTGGAAAAACAACCTCACCTTCGTTCTTCCTACACACTACAGGTAAGAACACTATCACGGAGAATTAAAAATGTATCTACACTCTTTGAGTGGAATAACATAACGACAAGACAGCTGAAAATTGGCAAACACCCAAAACTTTATTGAAAAAATTGGTCTTTCCGTGAAGTCACCAAATGACTAGTTCCTGTTCCATTCAACATACACGTTCTGTCACTGACACGTACAGTGTACCTGAGCAATGACACATAGATGTACCCAAAGTCATAACGAGAGCAGCTTGGTCATCTGAGAACCAAATGAAACATTGAGTCCTGTCCTGTATGAGTATGCTATTGTAATTTGAAGGAGGTCGTCTTTTAATTTTTACGAAAGGGGGATACATCAACATTTTCCATTAGATATGTTTAACTGAATTCATTGCTGGTAGATGGAAACGAATACCTACAATTTAAGGGTCTTCTCAATGCTGGTAAAAAATGAAATTGTTCACAAAGGTTTTAGAAACTCTGACTCAGTCTGAAATCATCATGGAATGACATCTGTTAAAGGCATCCAGTGCAGTTTTTAGGGCTTGCTGTTGGAAACCCGATTTTTAAAGCCAATATTCTAAGTCATTTATCTACATACTAGGTTAAAACCACACTATCCCAATTTATTTTGACCCTTAGGCCATGTTGATTTGATTATATGGATGACATCCTCTGGGAAGCCCAAAACTGATGCGCGCGTGCGAATAAAAAAAAAAGGTTTGCAAAACAAAAAAGTTGCTTTCACTATGAAATCTACGTGGTCATGAAGGTTGAACAAATGACACAGAACATGTTATGGCAAATAATCTACTCTTCGAATTCATTTCTTTACATTTTTGTCTTTTTTCCTTTGATTTTGGCATTCTACGACATTGGTATCGTTTCTAAATGTTTTCCTTGCAACTTATGGTATATCGTTGCTCATTTAGCAACTGTTTTGCACGATTTACAGTATGGTTGAAAACTTTTTTTTTGGAAACGGCCGAAAATTCATGCGCGCGCGGATGTCATCCATATAATCAAATCAACATGGCCTTATGGTGCAAAAATTCCCAAAATGCTGACGGAAAATGGTTACTGGAAGGGCCCTCGGCTGATTTTTAGAGTACCACCCAGAAAATAAAGGACTCATTTTGAGGCTTGCTTCTAAAGTTCTAAATGCCCAAAGTATGAAATAATTATTTTAATGTGCTAATGTGAAGCAGTATGTGTCAATATCACAAAGATTGCTTTATTCAGGATATTTCCAGTTTTGCTGCCTTGAAGTTGCATTGGATGCCTTTAAACGACGGTCGACCGTTTCAGAGTTGTGGACCCCTTTCCTCCTTTACATATTACATGTACTTTAGTGTTTCCAAGACTTGAGGCGCTTCACGCATGGCCACTGCACACAGGTCTTCTATGTACCATCGTCTGAGGTACGTAGCGCGCTCCTCTTCTTTCAACGATAACTTAGTCAGAGTGTCTCTGATGTGTTGAAGATCCTCTAAACTCATCCCCTGTGTGTCTGGTAACTCGTAATCCGGGCACTTGGGCACCTTTGCCGCCAGATTTTTAATGACGGTGTAATTTAGAACGTGTGGGACGGTCGCCTCGAGCTTCGAGCGGAGGGTGTTGGCATATGTATAAAGTTCATCCGCATACTGTTTCTTCGACATTATGTCCTCCCACTTGTCCTCGATTGACCAGACTAATGATTCGTACGTCGGTTCATCTGCATCCTTGTGGCGGGGTGGTGGATCGGTAAGTGGAAGAGCCACCTCTCCTCCCTGTGGAGATGATGCCGTGTCAGGTCTGTCTGACTCCGCGTCGCTGGTACCGTTGTCTGGTGACTCCGTGTCTTTTGGGGGTTCGGTCTCGGCTGGGGCTGGATAGAAAGTTCACATTGTAGTGGCTTTTCTTGATAGTAAATATCTTTCATTCAATACAATTTGTGTACCACGAGCCGACGTTTCGAATGTTTGTGAATAAAATAACTTTAGTACTCAATCATTCACCAACCCTATGACATTATTTACAGATGGGTTGACTTTTTTTTCAATGTTCTGCAGTTTTGGACTTTTGGACTGTCCTTTCAAGCATGATTCAAGCCGGAGATAACAATTTGGTAAAGGGATGAGCGACCTTAACTGGAAGAAATCTTCCTACCTGGATGAAGAGATTTACTAGATAACAAATGGACATTTTCTGGCTTAAGACACCTCTTACCTTGGCCCTGTCCAGAGTCATTGTCCACTGTAGTGTCCACTTGTGGAAACTCGAGCTCCGCGCCTTCAATCATTTCTGTCAGCTTCGCTGAATTCGGAGTTTCTGGCTCCTCTAATGGTACCGTCTTGTCGGAGGACCCGGGCTCGGTTGGGTCTAAATAGAATTGACACGTTCGCTTTATATAGTGGCTGTTTTTCTGTGTTCTTCTGTAGATCATTTTACTTTCAAGTCAATGAGTACTTTCCTTCTTAAATAGTGGCTTGTATTTACCTCTGACAGGAAGATATACTAGTATGCAAAGAAATGACATTAACAGAGAGTCTACATCTAAAGGAGAGTCCATGTGCAGAAATAATAATATAAAAAATACCTGAACTGTGAAGCCTCTTACATTGACCTCGTCCGAAGTCAATGTATCCCGTGGAACTGTCCACATCAATGGATACAGGGGAGACTTCCACGTCCTTGTCACGAGATGAGTGACCCTCTGGGCCCGCCATGACATCACCCTCTCCACTGCCACTCGTAGCTGCCTGGTCCGGTGTGTTGGGTGAGGCAGGTGGGCTGGATGTCGGGCCTGTTGTTGGGAAAGACTCTGGCTTCATGTGTGCAACTGCGATTATTTTACTATCAGTGTAACAGGCACTTCCTTTATTCTAAAAATTGCTTGTATTTTTTTTTACCCCTGAGAGGAAGATCCTAGGTTATATATAAAGAAAGGCCGTTACTAAACAGTCTAGTTACAGATCGAACTTCAGACGCCTCTTACCTTGACCCTGTCCAGAGTCCTTGTCCACAGTAGTGGCCACTTGTGGAACCTCGAGCTCTTCAATTATCTCTTTCAGCTCCGCTGAAGTCTCTGGCTTCTCTAACGGTACAGTCTTCTCGGGAAACCCGGACTTGGCTGTGTCTGAATCAGATAGAATTGACGTTCACTTTATAGTGGCTGTTTTTCTGTGTTATTCTGAAGTAAATCATATCAGTACCAAAGTGGCTTGTTTTTACCTCTGAGAAGAGGAAGATGTATGCAAAGAAATGTTAAGAGATATAGAGCGTGCACATTTAACGGACAGTCCATGTGCAGAAGGAATTGAATATCAAGCCTCTTACCTTCACCGCGTCCGGAGTCCATGTATCCAGTGGAACTGTCCACATCAATGGATACAGGGGAGACTTCCACGTCCTTGTCTCGAGATGAGTGACCCTCTGGGCCCGGCTTGACATCGCCCTCCCCACTGCCACTCGTAGCTGCCTGGTCCGGTGTGTAGGATGGGGCAGGTGGGCTGGGTGTCAAGACTGTTGTGGGGGAAGACTCCGGCTTGTCGTCTGCGACATCGCCGGCTGCGGACGGTGGTGATGTGTCCGTGCGGCAGCTGCTCTCTGACGTTCCCGCCTCTCCTTCCTGGGAGCCTGAGGAACGGCGTGGCCTGACCTCTCCTTTAGTAGAGGACCTTCCTGGCGTGCCTACAGTTGAGGCTGAATGACTGGACTTCGAGCTTGTTGCCTCCCCATTTTGGGAACTTGATTGACGGCACTCTCGCCTTAGCTTGACCTTTCCTTTGGCAGACGGCTTGGCAGACTGACTGGGCGCGGAGCTTGTTGTTGATGAGGGAGCGGCTACGGCATCTCTGCCCGCGGATGGTGGAGAGGTGGTCTCTGGGTTCTCTGGCGCTGCTGGCTGCACAGTCTTCTGGACTGGCTTGGCACGGTCTGAATAAAATGATACAATGCGTGCACACTGTGTGCATTATACGTTGATAAAATTCAAAAGCAATGCTGTTCTAAAGAAGGTGGAACCTCTGGTGCTTCGACCTGTCGAACGCCGGTTCGGCCAAGCCGTAAAACCAAAGCAGAACAATGTATTAGTAAAAGTAGGTTTACTGTTAAATGTTGGAATTAAAAAAAAGTAGGTTTCCTCTAACATAAGGACGTTAACATACAAAAATACGTTAGGAGATTCAAACGCAAAACTGTTCTATAGAAGGTGGGACCTCTGGTGCTTCGACCTGTCGAACGCCGGTTCGGCCAAACCGCAAAGCCAAATTAAAGCAGAACCCATGTATTCATATCAGTAAAAGTAGGTTAAATCTACATACATACAAACATACAGACTTACCTTGGTCCTGAGTAGAACCATGTTTCCCCTCCAGACCATCGACAGTCACCGTGACTTGCAGGAATGCCTCTTCCTTCTGACGCCCGCTTTTGTCGATCCTATCCAAGGCATACCACCACCGGTTTGGCAAGCCGTCCACCGACTCTATTGCAGCTGCAACATCTAGAGAAAGCACGGCGACCGTATTGTCTTTGCACCGCTTTGCCTTGCGGAGTTTAAGGATCAGTGGGTCTGCCGGCGTCCAGTGTAAAAATTCGGCCCCGTAATCCCAAAGGAGACCGTCTGATCTCCTCTTCTTTGTTTCCTTCTTTTCTTTCCCGACACGAAGTGTCACTAGATACTTGCTCTGGCTCTGGCGCCCGACCTTCCCCTCGTGAACAGTCACGTTCAGTTTGTGCTCGCCATCCCGACTCTTCCCGCCAGGCCTGAGCACTGACAGGGCGTGTACTACTGTTAGGAACGCTGACGCGGTCCTATCTAACACTCCCATTTTATCACATGGGATAACACAACAAGGAGCGTGAGAAATACACGTGCGGCATTCTCGAAAGTGTCGTTGTGTTTGTTCACTGCACCGCAGCAACGCTACAACAATGTAAAGGTTGTTCTAGAACACCGCAGTACAATGATGATAACTGTGACGTTCTAGTACTGATGACGATGGAACGACGTTTGACTAATTGACGGTAGCACAAATATCTGGGAACAGTACAGTACAAATACATGTACCTTGCTACTGTAGCGTTCTTTTTCATGCCTGACCTTGGTGCTGAAAACTATCCACGCTCAGGCAAACATGTCTGTCCTCGGTGGTAAACAATGAACATATACACCCAAACATACCTGTCCTTGGTGCTGAACACCATCCACATCCAGACATTGGTGCTAAGCACTATACACATACAGGCAAACAAACCTGTCCTTGGTGATGAACACCACACACACACACACACACACAGAGAACACACACAACACACACACATACAGGTAAACAAACCTGTCCTTGGTACTGAACACCATCCACATACAGGCATTGGTGCTAAACACTATACACATACAGCCGAACAAACCTGTCCTTGGTGATGAACACTATCGACATACATGCAAACAGAAGACTGTTAAAGCAAGACCGCCAAATTGCAAGAAGAAAAATAAGAAATTAGGGAACGGAGAAATCGTTCAAGGATTTGAAAGAAAACACCACGAATAGTTTCCACAACGGATAAAATCGTAGCAGCAAGCAATATTTACATGTAATAAATGTTAAAACGTTTGTGGACTGTTTAGTTGTTTACACAAATTCTTTCCGATTACAGGGACTACATAGGCTGGCCGCATCACATGAAACCACAAGATATCCTTCCGTCACCTACTGGCAGTTACAACATACTTTGTGATCACGTGGTTTATGACGACAGGATATTGCGCACATTGATGCCTGACGACACCGTTTCTATCGCCATCTTGAGAGAACCCATAAGGTACAAAATCGTTAATCAATACAGATTAAAAACACGTGTAAGTTTAACCCTAAACAGTACACCTGGGGTCCGCGCGGACCCCAGCACTATATATTCTGTAATATTTTTTTTTTGTTTCCTAAGATTTTTTTTCTGAAATTTCAGGTAATTGTCACCCACAAAGTTTTCCCTCAATACATGCAGAAAACTCAGTTTCCCACCTTTCTAAAAATTTTTATATCTTATTTTTTTGGGGGTCCGCGCGGACCCCAGCCGGCTTTCGATCGTAATGGATACACTGGCGTTCTTATACATTACTTTATTTCCGTTTTTATATGTTTTTATGCAATTATCGTATGGCCACCAAATCTACAGATATTGGTGTACTAATAGAATTAAATTGTAACAACTTTGGTGTAATTATGACGTCATATGACGTCAGAGCTACTTATATGGTCCGCCATTTTGGATTTTGACCAATGACGTCATCAAATTAGCATACATTATGAATATTAAATGATTTACCTTATCTTTAATTATATAAGATGTTAATAATGTCAGAAAGGAATTGTTATTTTATAGAAAACCAAAAAAAAAATTATGTTTAAACCAAAATTGATAGATTGAGAAACACGAATCTAGGTATACAGTCCCATCGGTAATAATGGAAGTAATGGGGTGATAGAAATATTTTTAAGCTTATTTTTCCGAGATACATCGTGATTGTACATAGGGCCACAGCAAGTAATTTTGTATGGATGACATCAGCGCGCGCATTGATTTTCGCCTGACTTTGCCTTCTGACAGTGGTCAATATGCCGAAAATAGGCGAAGATGTCTGTTGCCATGCTGGAAGGTAGATAGCAGATAACTATGAAGAGAGGAGACAAGAAAAGGCTCTGATTTAATGTTTTGTTTCTTACGTACTTTGATGCAGTGATATGTGATGCTGACTGTGTATATGTGATGTTCCCACTGAATCAAAATCATTTGTACAATGATTGAGCCAAAATTTTAAATGGTAGGAACCTTGTTTTTTGGTCCGCCTTGTTTTTTTTCGCCCGCTCGCATTAGATTTGGCGTCTGGGGAGGATGGCATCCGTAAAATTTACTTGATGTGGCCTAGGAAAAGTCCATAATCGTGTTTGAACGGATATGAAAGTAGACACGACTGTTTAATAGTTCGTGCACGTAAACTTTAACTTTACGCAAACAGTAACTTTTATACGGCATTATTTCATACGTATGGTAATTATAAAATCATTATTTTCACCCGTTTCTCTCTAGCCATCTCAAGTCGGTCTTCCATTGGTGGCATTTGGAACAAAAATACAACATTACCTCGCGCTCCGGAAGTGACGTCATTTCTAGATTCCTCGACAGCCCCATGTTCTATGAGACGAGATTTTCGTCCGACGTCGACAGCCTCCGTCCTTTCATGTACACCCGGAACTTTCAGTCCTACGACTTCGGATTCCCTGTCCATCTGTCAGATCAGGAAAAAGTCGTTCAAGAGTTCCTAGAGACCGTCAGGACTCAGTTTGACCTTGTGATGATCGTGGAATATTTTGACGAATCGTTGATTTTACTAAAGCGTTTGCTTTGTTGGGATCTTGTGGACATTTTGTATTTAGGACTGAGACGATCCAGGTCATATTCGTACAAAAACGCACAGGTTTCAACAGAAACTGTAGAAAAGCACCGTCAATGGAGCAAAGTGGATTACAATATGTACGATTATTTTAACAAATCTCTTTGGGAAATGATCCAGAAAGAAGAGCAACGAGGATTCCATTCAGAACTCCGTCATTTTCAAAGTTTATTAGAAGAAGTTAAACAGTATTGTTCAATCTTACCTGAGGGATACATACAGAGTTTAAAGACCATTCCAAAGAAAATCATTCCAGCGTCTCAATGGAATGAAGTAATACCTTTGGACGAACTTTTCTGTCTGGAATTGAGACTGGGCTGGGATGACTGGGAGTACGTTATAAAGAGCTCTCATCTCGGACAGTTGAGACAACACAATTCGTCTGGTTTTGATGTAAGCTTTGTTCAAGTTCCTCGGCCGACTAACATCATGTCAAGAATATTACGTAAGACATTTCAAGTTAAGGGTCCGAAGTTAACATGTGCAAACCGATCTACTTATTGTACACTAGAGAATCGAGCAATGAATAAACTTTGAAATATTCTATCGCAAAAAAAATATCGTATATGTATATAATATATACATATCTACAAAGTCGCTCCGAAACAGTAGGGTTCTTTAGACTCCGGGAGAACATCTTGTGTTACCCAGAAAGTCCTCATGTAGTAATCAGTTGGCTGCTTTATAAAGCCACGTAAACGGAATTGGAAAGTTCCGTACTGCGGCCAATCCTCCGCGTGCATTGTCGTGTAGCCCATCTTTCTGAACTCATTCCACACTAACGGTAAGACGTCACAGCTTGTTGAATTTTTCACTCCCGTCTTCGTGTTGGGCAGCTCTTCCTCGTGAAACCCTGTCAACATGCCGAGGAACTGCGCCGTCGTGGCGTCACCGATTACGTGATAACCCTTCAGAACGTGGCCCTCCAAAGTCTCTGTGAAATATTTGAATGTTTTGGGCAGTTTTCGCATGAAATTCATCCGAGAAGTTAAGTCCAACCCGACCATGAGGACGCTCATACCCTGTCCAAGGGCCGTCTTCATTCTACCGTCCTTCTCTATGTCCGCCTTTTTGTCCTGGACCAGACCATCGTTCCTTATTACTTGTGCGAAAACGTTGTTGTGCCCTCTAAGAACTTTGACCAATGATTGACTATTTTCATTAAACACACTCTCTTGTAATTAACAAGTGACCTTAGCAAACTCGTCTTTGAATGGAAATTGTATAGTTTGTTTGTTGGACACAAATACTTCTGTGATCTGTGGTACATAGGTTTCTGTAATCACTTCGCCTCTCGATTCTACAGTACTTGCAGCTGAGTAATGTATGTGTTGGTGGAATGGCGCTGAAGATTACTTTGATTGTATCCCAAGGAGATTCTTCTGTCCGCGAGTTCCTGTCTAAATACGTCAGGTAGTTGATAGAGGCATGTCCGCAGTACAGGTGTGTTATATTTTCGAAAAGGTGGTTGAATTCTGCGCTCTTCATCTGTAAGTCCGGGTACTTACACAACGGCTGTTCTCGACTGTAATGGTGACGAAATCCTCACCAGTTTCTTTGTTGCTTGCTACACTACGGAGATCCTTACCGCTTCGTGAAGTTTGTGTTGGCGGTTGTGCAGGTTTCCCATCTTGGGTAACCCCCGTGTGCACTGCGGTCTCTTCTATTTTGAGTACTTCTGAATCCTTGGATCAATTTATGACCTCTCTATTGCAAGACAGATATTGTGTGGAATGAAATAGGCAATATTCATTAATACTCGTAGCTTCTTTAACAAACCACCACCAATAAAGAAGAGGGCTAGTTGTATTGATGGTGTTCAGCACCAAGGACAGGGCTAGTTATGCATGCAAGGGCACAATTACACACAATCGCAATATGATTTGTCATGAGTTGTGAGGTTGCATTTAATTCAGCTAGCTATGAATATGTATGTTTTATTTATGATTTTTGACTAGTTCTGGTTTCCTGTCCAAAGTATGGAAAGTCGGGGCCTATAGTCTCAAACAAAACTTTCCGCACATTGTAAATTACTCCTATAACTCGATCTTTTCTGCGCACGAAGCGGAAATTTTCTCCTCCGCGAAAGTGAGGTTGCCCAAAGGATCATGTTAGGCCACACCGACTTAATTTTATGGATGACATCCGCGCGCGCATTGATTTTCGCCTGTCGCCCTCAAAAAAAAAAAAAAAAAAGATCACGGCCTCCACCGAGGCTCTGGCCTGGCTCTATGCCTGGGTAGTCCATCAGCGACAAAACAGAGCCGAGCACCCAAGCTATCGAATTCGAAGCTCCACGACTCAAGAACTCAGTACATAAGTATTGTACCGATTCATAAATGCCACAAAAAGCCAGCATGTGCCGGCTTGTCGTATACGTCACTATGTACTGTCGGGAATTCACAATACCAGCTTTGTATTCCTGTGGTTCAGTAGCATTTTTATTTTTAGCCGGAATTTTTTTTTCTTCGCCCGCGCGCACTAGTTTGGGGGTCTTCAGAGGATGTCATCCATAAAATTAAATCGGTGTGGCCTTATCTTGGGAAAATGTTCGACGCCGCTCTCGCCTTAACTTGATATTTCCTTTGATAGACGGCTCGGCAGACTGACTGGGCGTAGAACTTGCTGTGGCATCTCCGCCGCGGATGATGGAAAGGTGGTCTCTGGGTTCTCTGGCGCTGCTGGCTGCACAGTCTCCTGGGCTGGCTTAGCACGGTCTGAATAAAATTATACAATGCGTGGATACCATGTGCATTATACGTTATTATCATATAGCCGGGTGACGTTGGCCAATCAGAAGGCTCCATTCCACATTCCTTATGTCGCCGTAATGTCACAAATAGAGTCAAATAGAGTCAAAATCGGGTATTTATTCATCCCAATCCATACATTAAACAAACCCAATAATCACCCGCATATGACCTCAGGTGACCCAATAGAACACGGTTCTAGTTCTAAAAAAGCCAAAAATAACTTAAGTTGTGTTCCATAAGAACACCTGTTCCCTGCCTGTGACCCAGTTAACGTGAACTCTACCCAGTGACCTCAGGTGACTCCAGATGGAACTATGTTCTATGTTCTATTCAGCATGTGCATTGTGTCACTTACTGCATCAGTTTGGATAGGCTATCGTGTAAGCTATATGATAATAGCGTTAATGTCCCGCCCTTTCTCGGTGAATATGGTGTGATAAAGCCTTGTCATTTGCTATAACCACCTTATAAAGCCACCTCGTTCGCTGCGCTCACTTCGTGGCTTTATTCTGTGGTTATAGCAACTGACAAGGCTTTATCACACCATATTCACCTCAAGGCGGATCATTAACCCTTAATTATCATATAGCAGGGTGACGTTGACCAATCAGAAGGCTCCATTCCACATTCCTTATGACGCCGTAATGTCAAAAATAGAGTCAAAACCGGGTATTTATCTCTCCCAATCCATACATTAAACAACCCAATAATCACCCGCATATGACCTCGGGTGACCCATGCATATAGAACACGATTCTCTTCTAAAAAAATCCCAAAATAACTTGAGTTGTGTTCCAATGACTCCCATAAGAACACCTGTTCCCTGCCTTGGACAGCCGCTCCGAAAGTGTAGCCGTCGTGTGGGGTCGTGTGGCGTAGCGGCAGCGTTCTCGAATCGGAACCAGAGGCCCCGGGTTGGAGTCCTGACATGCCACCGATCTATCTTGTGCCCTTGGGAAAGGCACTTAACACGACTTTCCTCTTGCTTTACGTATCAGTCAACAAGATGATCGTACAGCGCTGAAATTCGGTCTTCAACATAAAGAGACAAAACACGACCTCATGCTGGCTCCACTGACAGTAATTGTTGACAGAATACGAGCGAAAAGCAAACAACAGAATCTGTTCCCAAAAATCACATATTCTACTTCTACTATTCTACTACTACCTTTGGGAAGGACAAACCTACATTACATCTTTAAGGACTAAACCACAAGTTAAAATAGTTGCGTCTACGATATGAACAGGGGCACAAAATGTCACGGTCATCTTTGATAGTAGCTGTCACGGTGTAGGTCAACAACCTTCGTCTTGTTGTTAAAGAACTACATTGACTCACTCACTCTCACTCTCACTCTCTCCCATAGCTTAGTCAGCCGTCGGGGCAGCATGATGTTTGGCCAAGTTCTTCCACTGCTGGCGGTCCTCCGCCAGTCTGGCCATCTGGCCATCTACATTGACTACGCCGAAAAAATATAGAAAATTGAATTTTCCTTTTCTAGCTGTATATCCTACTTCATTTATATTCCACAGGACAAATATTGCTAAGCCCTACACAATTCCATGTGTTTTCATTTTGTCTTTGGTTATTAAATTTTGTACTTTATATGTAAAGTTGTACTGATATTTAGCATCCAGTGTGATAGCTACAGATTGCATTTATAATTCCTTTTCCTCTCTTGCTTCAAGTATCAGTCAACAAGATGATCGTTTAGCGCTGAAACTCGGTCTTCAACATAAAGAGACAAAACACGACCTCTTGCTGCCTCCAGTGACCCTAGTAATCGTTGACAGAATACATGTACGAGCAAAAACCAAACTTCAGAATCTGTTCCCATTAATCACATACATGTATTCTACTTCTACCTTTGGTAAGGACAAACCTACATCGCATCTCTAAGGGCTGAACTACAAACTAAGGGATTTGAGTTGTTTAAGATGATATCTTTTACTGCTCAGACAAACCGGCCCCCCAGGCACCAATTGCATCGTTATTTCTTCCTTCTGCCGAGCGACATGACAGTGGCAATCGGGAATTATCGGGCACGAATCTGTCCCATTCGCCAAACTTCGGTTTGCACCCGAAGGTCTCCGATGAGTTCCGAATCTCCAGGTATGGCTAAAAATACGACTGACGTATGAGGAAATGGGTGTTTTTAACCAATCAGGGAACAGAAACGTTGGGTTAGAAGTGACATCATATCTTTAAAGTCAGACAATTAAATAGAGGGCTTTGGCCTGTTTGTCTAAATGTACTTTTTAGTACGGGTATATCTATCAATAGGCTCCGAAAAAATGAACGAAACAATTACAGCGATGTTTAACATAAACTGACTCTTTGTGTTTCAAATTTGGTGTTCAAGAAAAAAAAATATCAAGACCCCGAAAAAATTAAGAAATGAAGAAAACACAGCAACGTTGACGTTTCCATGCCCGAACGTACTGGTCTGTTTCTGTGTCTCCTTGTATCGTAAGTCTTAGACGTATTTCACCGTATCGTGAGCCATGAAGACGTTGAATTTGTATTTTGAGGCATTTTTATACATCAGTGATTCCTGTATAAACACAGCACCCTAGCACGCCTACGTTTTACGACCGTAACAAAGTAGTTACACACAGTGTCTCTAAAACCGGTCGTCCCTGTACATGGGTGAGGAGGTCACAGGTCAGGGTGATATTGGTGTTGACATGATAAGAGCCAAAATCAAACTACAATATCCGTTCCCGCCCGGGTTTCATATCTTTTACTATCATCGTAGCAAGGAACAAACCAGTATCTTATTTTAAAAATATGAACCGTTAAGGAAGTGGTTCGGGTTGTAAAAACGATAGTTTTAAGTTGTTAATGATCAGACGACCAGCTGAGCCCCAGGCAAGTGTAGCACTAATTATACTTGCATTGCTACATTCGGTCACGAGACTCTTCCAAGTATGGCCTTCGTGGATCATCGGGCCCATTCGGCCAACTTCGGTTTGTGCTCGTCACCTGTCGGGCATGAGCCGACGGTCTCCAATGTTCTCAGAGTTATAGGGGGTGTGACGTCATGCAGTGTGAAATATATTCTATACTGTTACGTTGTAGGAATTGTGGCATATAGAGCAGAACATATTCAACATTTTGTTCTGTATGATCGCTGTGATTATGCCGACATGTCGGTCGTTAAGATAGTTTCGTCTAAGATATGAACAGGGGCACAAAAAACGTCACGCTCATCTTTGATAGTAGCTGTCACGGTGTAGGTCAACAACCTTCGTCGTGTTGTTAAAAGACTACATTGACTACGCCGAAAAAATGTTGAAAATTGAATTTTCATTTTCTAGCTGTATATCCTACTTTATTGATATTCCACAGAACAAATATAATTGCTAAGCCCTACACAATCCCATTTGTTTTCATTTTGTCTTTGGCTATTATTTTATGTGTAAACTTGTACTGATATTTAGCACCCAGTGTGATAGCTACAGATTGCATTTATAATTCCTTTTCCTCTCTTGCTTCAAGTATATCAGTCTACAAGATGATAGTTTAGCGCTGAAACCCGGTCTTCAACATAAGGAGACAAAACACGACCTCTTGCTGCCTCCAGTGACCCCAGTAATCGTTGACAGAATACGAGCAAAAACCAAACTTCAGAATCTGTTCCCAAAAATCACATATTTACCTTCGCCAAGAAGGTTATGTTTTCAGTAGCGTTTGTCTGTTTGTGAACAGCATAACTCAAGAAGCTTAATATGTATTGTCATGAAACTTGGTAGGTGGGTAGGTCTTGATGAGACCTAGAAATGATTAGATTCTGGGCCCCCTGGCGGCTTTTGTTGGTACTGCAGCAGAACTTCCGGTTTTGATATCTCGCATTCTGGACATGCTAGAGTCACGAATTTTGGTTGGTAGATAGCTCTTGAGGTGGGGAAGAAGTGACATGAGTTTGGGCCCCCTAGCAGCTTGTTCTGGAACTGCAGGAGCGTTTCTTGAAAAAATCTCCGAAGGTTGATAACTCAAGAACCGGTTGACGGATTGTCATGATTTTTGGTATGTAGGTAGCTGAAGTGATACTTGACATAATCAGATGACAATTATCCAAATTAGGAGCTAATTTGCATAATTAATGAGGACATTCTATAAATCTGCTTCGTTCGATTATAGGACTTTGAAACACTTGTGACATGTAATTGAGAACTAGAAAAACATCTGAGGATATAGATTATGTAAATGAAGACCTAATTTACATAATTAATGGAAAATTGTTATAATTTCATGGTTGTAATTGCTGGGAATTTCATACTTGCCGTATTTGGAAGTTAAGTGAAGGTGAACATCAATGAAGATAATTTATTCACATTATGAACTCATTTGCATAATTTATGAGGAAGTGCTAGAATAGCCTACTTTGTTAAGATAAGGCTGCCATTGGGTAGAGAATATGATCAACTGATGTAATCCATGCATATGACGCTCTTATTTGCGAAATCAATTATTAAAATTGTATAATTCGTCAAAAGCAAGGGTTAACATCATTTGGCGATGGTATGAGATCGTGGAACTCTTGTCTACTTCTACCTTTGGTAAGGACAAACCTACATCGCATCTCTAAGGGCTGAACTATAAACTAAGGGATTTGAGTTGTTTAAGATAATATCTTTTACTGCTCAGACAAACCGACCCTCAGGCACCAATTGCATCGTTACTTCTTCCTTGTGCCGAGCGACATGAAAGTGGCAATCGGGAATCATCGGGCACGAATCGGTCCTATTCGCCAAACTTCGGTTCGCACCCGAAGGTCTCCGATGAGCTCCGAATCTTCAGGCATTGCTAAAAATATGACTAACGTATGAGGAAATGGGTGTTTTTAACCAATCAGGGAACAGAAACGTTGGGTTAGAAGTGACATCATATCTTTAAAGTTAGACAATTAAAGACAGGGCTTTGGCCTGTCTTTCTAAATGTACTTTTTAGTACGGGTATATCTAAGAACAGGCTCCGAAAAGATGAACGAGACAATTACAGCAATGTTTAACATAAACTGACTCTTTGTGTTTCAAATTTGGTGTTCAAGAAAAATATATCAACACCCCGAAAAAATCAAGAAATGAAGAAAACACAGCAACGTTGACGTTTCCATGCCCCGAGCGCGCTGATTATATTTGTGAGGGCAGATGACTATGTATTCAAGTTGTATACTTAAAGTTTGTCCTTTTGATTTGGTTTCTTTGCGTATTTATCCCAATATATGTTTTTCCTGTTACAAATAGATTTATTTAAAATGTGTATCTATGAGTAACGAAAGTTGTGGATAATATGCCTTTTTAATAGCAAATTCGGTTACAACGTGGCCAACTACATTAGAGACAACAATGTTGACAACCTTGGCCCAGACAACCGAGGATCCGATGCCTACTATTGGTGGGTTCATGTCTCACATGATGTTTTCCAAAATTATTGCCTTGTCTGCCTGAATGGCTTAATGATGTACATTGTATACACTGTGAAGCTGTGGAAGATGTTGAAATTGTCGAGTAAAATGTATTCAGAGTAGTTCAACACGCAGTTCCTGTACGTAACATGTTTGCTTCCGCTTTGCTTGTTACGTTAAAGTACTTGCAGAGGCAAATTTGTGACTGGAGTCCATAAGAATACTATTATCATGTTGCGTGAATGGCTGCTAATGGAAAAAAGAGACTAAAATTATAGTGGTACATTTATATTGCACTTCAGCATACTTGGGAGTTTTGTAAAACCTACTAAGTAGTATTCCCCAATCCAACAGTTTTCCCGACGACTCAGCCGTGTGACTTGATGCCAGACCTGTTCTTTGTTCTGGACGGATCTGGAAGTGTGAGCGTCTCAGACTTTAATACAGTCAAACAGTTTGTTGCAGCAGTGGTCACGGGTTTCACCATCGGTTTAAGTGATACTAGAGTTGGTGTACTTCAGTACTCAAATTTCAACACGTAAGTGATTTTTGCTATCCTTTTTTGCAAGTACAACGCTAACGCCTATTTGAATACAATTTCATGGTAATTACCATAATGTAGGCAAATGTATTCCAAGTTCCAGAAATCATAAAAAGGGAGAAAAGACACTGAATAGATGCATAATTTTCCGAATGACAGCCACAGTTACCCCTGAGCCATACGTTTCTAATTTTGACCTCAATTATCAATGCATTATGTTTAAAGTGTGGGATTGAAAAGTACTGACAGAATTTGTCGTATTTCAAATATCCAGACTGGGGTGTAATCTGGGAGACCATGCTGATGAGTCATCTTTCGTCAACGCCATTAACACCATGACACGCCAGGGCGGAGGCACAAATACTGGGGCTGCTCTGGAGTTCGCTCGGCAAAACGCCGCCTGGAGGGCTGCACCTACTCCAAAGGTGGGTACAAGTTGTTCCCATTTTATGGGTTCAGGGTTAATATAAAAGTGAATGTTGAATCCTAACCTTTGAAATCATAATCAAATCATAATGAAATTAAATGGTATATATAGGTCGTAATAATGTCTCCATTTAAAATACATGCACAGTACTAGCAAAAAGATGCCAAAATGTAAATTGTATAATAGTGACTGAAAGTTTAACTTTTCCAGATTATGGTAGTTTTGACCGACGGACATTCATCGGACAGTGTCGCCGCGCCGTCCCAAGCTCTGGCCGCAGACGGAGTGACCGTCTTCGCTATCGGTGTGGGCAACTTTGACCATTCAGAACTACTGCAGATTGCCAACAACAACGCGGGGCGTGTGTTTGAGCTGACTGACTTTAACCTCCTGGCTCAGAACATCAATTGGATTGCTCGCGCACTTTGCAAGGGTGAGTACAGATCAGAGTAAACACTTTGGATTTGACTACGCTAATGGCAGGGATCAAGATTGGAGTAATTTTGATGGTTAGATCTTACAATCTATTGTTAAATAGAAGGATTGTATCAGTGGGAAGAACCTCCCTATTCAAAATCCTGGCTACGGGCATGATACATTTGTAAACAATATTTTCATTGAATGCCACTAGTATTGTGGTAAGTAATAGGAAAATGTTGTATTTCGGTATCATGTTAAGATTCAACTGTACAGTCACAGTGAGTGGTCGCCTTACCCTTATAAAGGGGAACCAACATTTTCCCTATGGATCTCTGTCCACGCACTTTTCAGAAATATGGCGTTTTATGTTTATTACTACGTTTATTTTACGAGTATTTCTTCCCATGCACCACAGCACAGGAGCCGGGTCCCCGTCTTGTTGGAGGATCCGGTGACCACGAGGGAAGGGTGGAAGTTTTCCACAACGGACAATGGGGAACGATATGCGACGACAACTGGAGCCTTCAGGACGCCAATGTCGTGTGTCGCCAGCTGGGGTTTTTTGCAGCTGAAGCAGCGACATGTTGCTCCTCCTTCGGGAGGAGCTCGAGCTACGGGCAGATCTGGCTGGACGATGTTGCCTGTAGTGGAAATGAACCGAACCTGTACAGCTGCAGCCATAATGGATGGGGCAACCACAACTGCGACAATTACGAAGATGCCGGAGTCGTCTGCACCCGTAAGTTGGATTACATTTGTTTCTTACTCGTATGTGTAGCTAGGTCAAGCGACTTGTTTCTTGCTTTGCTTTGCTCTTATATCATGATATGTTTCTTATTATATACTGAGGAGTATGGATCATGAAAGACGGCCATCCAATCAGCAAAGAAAGTATATTTATCTACTGAATTTGTAACCCCTTAGGTCTTACCAGCTGCTATGCGTGATAACTGTTATGTTATGTAGTATGTAGCCGAAAATATTCAATGTAGATATACATATCTATTGCTTTACATTTGTAGGCTGTGGTAAAATTATGACTCCCGTAATTTTCTCTTCTATTGTTAGCTTTTTTTCCGGTTCAGATTCAGTCGTCTTTTTATGTTTTTAAGTGAAAATTATACTGTCTACATTGAATTAATGATGATATGTAACTATTAGTCTGGAGGGAAATGATGGGAGATGGAATTTGTTTCAAAATTGTGCTACTTAAAGCTGCATTATGTGTCTTTTTGACAATACAAAAAGTATATTTTCCATTCTTTTCTTTACATAGTACGTTAACTTAACCCTTTAGTATAATTCCAGAAGTCAGAAATGTGAAATAATGACACAAATGAGTTGAAAAGTGATAGTAACACCGAAATTTAGTAGAATTAGAATATATCAAATTTTTGCGTAAAAAAGTTACATAATGCAGCTCTAAAGTTACTTTTGGTAAATTGGCTCTTCCAGAAAGTCAATCGACACAAGATCCGTTGACACCAGTTACTACAACATATCCCTGGTCTGTAACAACCCAAGGGCAGGTGACAACACCTGTTGATGTCTGTAAGTTTTCTCTCTTGGTCTTAAAGACTGCATAATCATCTTTCCTTTTTATGAATGGCATCACGTCTTTTTATGAATGGCATCACGTTAGCTAATATACCTCTTAAAAACTAGTGGTCACTGTCTGTCATATTTCATAGAAAATACGACCAACCTTCAACCTGCTGCAGATTAGGAGCAACCTTAATTAGACGAGCGAGCTTATGATATTACTGGCTACTCATGTTGGCATTGTCGACGTGTAAATTGTTGATTGATTTAGACACACTTGCTTAGACAACAAAACACACTACTGTAACAGCACAATGAGATATGGAGTAGACAGCAGTGAACAGAAATGGGATGTACATGTAAAAGTCGTGACCTAAATTACAAAGTACCTGTACGATTTCCAATCTATTCACCACACCAGTCCAATAGATAAACAGTGAGATCAAATACACAGAAAGTTTAAAATGGATTTGTGTTACAGATCCTTGCAATCCTGGTGAATACCATGTGTTGGATGAACCATGGCAAAACTTTGGACATGGCCTCCGTAGTTTTAATTGTTACAGTGGCCGGAACTTCAACGGCGAGTGGTACCGCTTCATGGGTTCAGCCGGGTCCCAAATGTTAGCACGTAATCCCGAGAGGTATTACACCTGCGGCACTACATATCCCCTGTGGATGAACGGAACGCATCCGACAGTTGCAGACGGAGAGGTGTCTCGTCAGTTATGCACTTACCAGGGCAGCAGCTACCCCTGCAGGTACCCAGCAACCATTCAGGTGAAGGCGTGCCGGGCCGGGTACTACGTGTACAAGCTGCACAGGACTGGTTCCTGCCACTATGGTTATTGTGGGGTCACAGGTGCGTCATTTCCTTTGTTGCAACTTTTCCCTTTTGTTTTCGTTTAACCCTATCTAGACCGGGGGGGGGCTAAAAGTGCCCGCGCCAACTTTGATGTCGATGTCACGTAGCGTCTGAACGGCTGGAGCTAGAACCGCCAAACTTGGTGACTTTTCCTAAAATATTATTGGCAAGAATTCTATATTGTTGGCAACAATTCTGTATCAGTGGAATAAAATTATGATTTTTCTTGTTGCCATGACAACGGGTTTCTGACAGGCATTTTTTGCTAAATTTAATAATTTCCGTTTCAACAACAGAATTTTATGGGCTTTATGTCAAGTTACACATGGTTTCTAATATTTATGACATCTCATATAATTATATGTAAATTTATCATTAAAAATGCATAATTTATGCTAATGTGATGACGTCAATCCAAGATGGCGGACCATATCACTAGATCAGGTCAATACAGCTTATTTTCCTTAAAATTTCATCAATACTCCCATTTCTTTTTTTACAAAAAAGTTCATATGAACGTCTTTAGTATGTTTACAATGTATTTTAGGCTTTATCCTGAAAAAAAAACACTTTTTCAAAATTCGAGATTGATGCTCCAAGATGGCGGATAGATAATATATGCATGACGTCATTTTATGACGTCACCGATGTTGCTATGGGCAACATAAGACTTAGTACACCCTAATATTCTGTCATAAACACTTTTGGTAAAGTTATGTGTATACCATTTAGTTTTCAGGGAATAACCTATCTAGACGGTTTTGGCGGATAAAATCACACATTAATGACGTCATAATGACGTCATATTACGTAACAACGACATAAAAATTGTACGTATGATAAGTTTTTACTAGTACACCATCCTCTGAAAATTTGGTGGTCCTACGATATACCGTTCGCGAGTTCTGAGCGAGGGGGCGGGCCGAATGAGCCCCCCCCCCCCGGTCCCACCAAGCCCAAAAAAGCCCGGTCTAGATAGGGTTAAAAGGTGTAGATCATAGACCCTTTCAAATGATAGTTTTGAAATGTATACGCTAGAAAGTAATTGTACTTTGACCCCACAGATGAACCTCGTTGCCTTGCAACATATATTAAGCACTTTTTATTAACATATATTAAGCACTTAATATTTGCAATATTAAGCACTTTCATGTTTTGCAATGTTTAGCGTTGACAAGGAGCCACACATCCCAGCTATTTTTGGGTAATATCTATCTATTTATGTATCGGTTTGGCTGTTCAACCCTCACAGCCAGGGCAGCCCAACTAGCCAGTGACTATTATAAAGGGCTTGCCCTACTGCCTGCTGACAAGACGTGACAAAACGTTACAGCAACATATAACCTGGTTAAGCAATCTACAAAACTTCGGATGATATCAGTCCAAATCTTATCGTGTTGCTGTGCTTCATTTTGGATGATGAAACTTAGACAGTTATAGTTCTCGAGAACTTGTTAGGAGACCAATACACACACCGTCCAGAATGAAAATGTTTCAATGAGCATTTTGATGTTTGGTTAGGTGTACGACTGGTTAATGGAACCGGAGACCATGAGGGTAGAGTGGAAATTTACCGTGACGGCGAGTGGGGGACCGTCTGTCACAATAGTTGGGACCGGAACGATGCCCACGTCGTGTGCCGTCAGCTGGGGTTCCCTGGTGCTGAGAGGGCAACAACTGGAGCCTCCTTCGGGCAGGGGACTGGACCGATCTGGCTGGATGATGTAACCTGTAGGGGAAGTGAGTCAGATCTACAAACCTGCAGCCACAGCGGATGGGGCCGCCACAACTGCGGGCATAATCAAGATGCAGGAGTTGTCTGTACTGGTAAGCTAGTCAGTGATGCTATTTGAATGTCTTTCATTGCATTACAGTATTTTCTGCCCTTCTAATTTCACCGGGAAGTTCAAAAACAATGTAGTCGAGTAAAGAGATTGCTTCTTGTACGATACGTGTATTCAACGATGTCGAATCATCTATTGACATGATGCCACCATTAGAGTACCTGAACTGTCTTCTACATTCAGAAAACATAATAGGATTAAGCCCCTAAAATAGGCCAGCCGTGAAGTCCGATACGACGGCTAAGGATAGTCTTCAATTGAAGATATCAAATTTCTAAGTCTCGATCGTTACATGTCATAGTCTGTATCTCCATCTGATTCTGACATTTAACTGTTTCCCGTCTTCGCAGACATAATAGACTGCTCTCAGTATTATGCGTCAGGACAGAGAACAAATGGAGTCTACCCAGTTGGTTCGACGTCCTCCGGTGTACAGGCATACTGCGACATGTCAGGTACCGCATTAAGGAGCACTAGATGGGAGTTAATTAAGGGTGAATATGGTGTGATAAAGCCTTGTCAGTTGCTATAACCACCGAATAAAGTCACCGAGTGAGCGCAGCTTTTAAGACTCTACTGTATGTCCAATAAAAGAATAACTTTTTGGGTCATTGTGATTTCGACGAATAGGGAAACATTATGGAGGGAAGAGCTTCACTTGGTTTTCGTTTATATGTGTGATTACACACTGGTATGAATAAAGAGGTATCACGATGCTAGTGTTTGGGGTAGCTTACATAGATATTAGTACATTTGTACTTTCCTTCTGGTGCCTTCCCACAGGCGGAGGCTGGACCGTGATCCAACGGCGGCAGGACGGGTCGGTTCCCTTCAACCGGACCTGGGAGGAGTACAAGCACGGGTTTGGGAACAAGAGCGGGGAATACTGGCTTGGGAACGAGAACATCTACCTCCTAACCCAACAAAAGAACTACGATCTGAGGATAGATATTAAAGACTGGGAGGGAAATCGGCTATCTCGTACGTACAGGAGCTTTATGTAAGTATATTCCAGTGATAGATATCTTTTCTTCTCAAAATAAGGAGAGACGAAATACATATTACAGAATGATTACATTGTCAAGTTGTTTCCATCTCAAGCCTACAAAATTTTCCCATCCAGAATGAGGGGTGAGGCGGACAACTACCGGCTTTGGTTTCTGTATTCCGGTACCGGGAATACAGGAAACTGGCCTATCCATCGCGGTCAGAACTTCTCCACCGTGGACAGGGACAACGATTACTGGAGCGGCGGCCACTGCTCTCATGAAGAGGGAGGAAAGGGCGGCTGGTGGTTCAGGGAGTGCGGATTCCCCAACTTCAACAGTTGCTACCGAGGAAGCTGTGAGAGTTCCTGTTCAGGTAGAGATGGTCTGAGTTGGCAATCTAATGAAGGCAAGTGGCACCTGTTGAAGTCTGTTACTATGAAGATAAAGCCACGCTAAAACATTGTTGAATGGAAAGGAATGTAGCCTATGATATCTGATTTATCCACGTTATCATGACGGTAATAACACATACTTCACAATCTCGACATATGATCAATTAAGAGAGAGAGAGAGAGAGAGAGAGAGAAAGATTAAGAGAGATACAATTGTATTGTTACAGCCAGTTTAGTATGTTAGATTGCGGATTTAGTGATCATGAGGTGATATGATTGAGAAGACCATACAGATGACCAAGTAACGCTCTAGACATGCCATGTATATAGTTGCCATGTATTGTAGTACTGCTGCACTAGCCGGTGAGTGCCTTCTTATTTAGCATGCAACACCTATCTATATAGTATATACAACATTATCAGACCTAAGGCCACACCGATTTAATTTTATGGATGACATCCTCTCAAGACCCCCAAAGTAGTGCGCGTGGGCGATTAAAGAAAAAATTCCGGCCAAAATAGAAATGCTATAAAACCACAGGAATACAAAGCTGGTAATGTGAATTTGCGGCATACATAGCCGACACATGCTGGCTTTTAGCGGAATTTATAAATCGGTATGTGTTGAGTTCTTGAGTCGTGGAGCTTCGGTAGCTATGGTGCACCCCCCCCCCCCCCCCGAGATATAGTTACCACCGGCTCGGTATTGTCGCTAACTACCCAGGCCTAGAGCCTCCTTGTTTATTTTTTTTTTATTTTTTGAAGAACAGGCGAAATTCAATGCGCGCGCGGATGTCATCCATACAAATAAGTCGGTGTGGCCAAACTCAATTATGGTGATGATTCGTTATTATATCTACTAGTATATTAGGAAGCTATAATTGTAACATCGTAATGGTGACCCTTCCTCTATTGAAAGGGAATGGTGGATCCGGATAGTAAGCATAGATTGTTAAAAAGTTGGATAGACAGAAAACAGAGTTTATAAAGCATGATATATATAAGTATATCACTTACCTGCCTTTAGTTAGATCATTGTGTTCAGTATATTTTGATTATCCAGATATATTAATCCTCATACTACCTTTGCTTTTTAATACATTTTTCTCCTTTGGTCGGAATATTCTTCAATCAGTGACTGTTTTTGTAAGGTGAAAAACACGTACTACCAAATTTTCGATGTCAATTGTTGTGTTCTCGCGAGAATAGGTCACTCCGTGATCAAGATGTACAGTGGACATCGAAAATTTGGAGGTACGTGTTTCTACCTGTCAAAAGAGTCACTGATTGAGGAATATTCTACTAACTGTTAATTTTACGTGACGGATGAACCTCTTCAACGATTTCTCTCTTTGTTTTCTCCGTATAACTCATTTAATTTCTGTAGTGTTATCTACCAGTACTATTTTCGTCCTTAGTAGTACGTTAGTACTAGTATCCTACATACATTTAATATCTTAACGGTGGGAGATTTACCTACATAGTATTACGTATAAACAATATATGATATTAAATATACGTACATATCTGGAATAGCTGTTAGCAAATGCTCCATGCATCTGTACAGTAGTGAAAGCATTGGTGGCGTTGAATTCTGTTGCTTCTATGCAATAAAATGTTGGCGGTTTCTGAAAAAAATCCCGAGTGTCTGATGATCTTATCTAAGTATTCTTAGTAAATTACGACGTTTGTCATTATGTTTCATCTGTTTTATCCATATCCATATAATTTCGAGAATTGCTTAAGTTGGTTTATGTTGATACCTTAAAGGCAACCAGTGCAGTTTTTACGACTTGGAAACCCGATTTTTCAATGCCAATATTCTAGTCATTTATCTACACACTGAGTTGAAATCACACTGTCTCAATGTATATGGACCCTCATGGAGCAAAGATTCCAAAAATTATGACGGAAATGGTTACTGGAAGGGCCCTGGGCTGATTTTTAGGGTACCATTTTAATGTGAAGCAGTATGTGTCAATATCACAAATATTGCCCTATTCAGAATATTTCCAGTCTTGCTGCCCTGAAGTCGCATTGGATATACTTGACTATATGAAGTAATTTTTACAGGTCCACCTTTCAACTTTAATCTCATCTTGCGTACTCCCATATTGTTTCTTGTTGGTTGTAAACTGACACTGTAAACGTCAGGCCGTCTGTAGACGTGGGCCCGTTTTGACGACTTTGCTGGTGAAAAGAAGAAGACAAGAAACAGTCTGTAGGTCTGTAACCTTTGACATATGTCAAGCTTGCTGAGTGTGCACTAGAGCTGGCCTGTGTAGACTCTGGGAACAGTCTGGCATCCAGGCTACCATGTTGGCTGTGGAGCTGAATAGCTGGCTTGTGTAGGCCCTGGAAACAGTCTGATTTCCAGGCTAGATGTTGAACCTAGAGATGGCCACTTGAAGCCCTGGAAAGTCTGGTGTCCAGGCTACAATGTTGGCCCTGCAGCTGAGAAACCGGTCTGTTCGAATCACCGCTGCCGTGTTTGTTTACATTCTGGTAGTTTGTGGTGGCACCACAAACTGAATTCGCCTCATGTGGGCTGTTTTAACGCCAATCATAAATGTCAGAAATTTGAGATAATTGCTCAAAATTTTTGAAAAGAGGAAGTAAACTATAATCACATGATATCTTTTGAAAAAAACATTTCAATTTCTGATTTAAAAATGTTACGTAGTGATGATGCCCCCTTAACAATTATGTAGAGTGAAAGTTGAAAGGTCATTGGTGGGTTAAGCAAACATAGCTTCAGTTACTATTGTAACACTAACAGTGCGTCACTGCATCACTACGGAGAAACTCAGACCTTCATCAACATATCCGTGAAGACTGCTTCGTCATGGCTAACAGCACGTACACCCTCCTCCTAATCACGGTAAGTATTCGAGAAACATCCTACATTTCAGTTTTGAAGAATTATAAGACTGTCGCCGGTTCGCAAACTACGTTGTAAAACTTCTAACACTAGTAGTCGAACGTAGTTTCACTGGCACTACAATATACTAGTAGTATTGGCGTTGTTCTGTGTTCTATTTCGTTTGGATAAGGTAGGAGAACGCTGCCTTTTTGCTAACCTAATATGTACTTACAGAGTTTTTGTTTATACGTAAATTTGTCCTAAATTCAGCTCGAGAGAAATTCCTTTGAACAATCATGCATACAGAACATTCTTGGCTTGAAGAATACGTACTACGTAGCTTGAAAACTTTCCGTTTGACGTAGAATTTGAGACTTTCAGTGTTTTCTGAATGAAGTTAGTACTAGTTGATCCTCCTTGATTCAATACGTTACTAGGTAAACACAACTGTATACCGTGTAAGCTGTTATTTGCGTACTGCTTTCTGCGTATCAATTGTCCGTAACTTTTTGGGTTAGGTTTGTACACGCTACATGGTACGTTTGTTTTAGCCTCCACCAGGCCTTTCTACGGGAATACGGATGGTAGAATTCGGCAAAAAAGAGAATCAAATAGGGCAAGGGAGTCCGGCCGCGGGGAGGTAGTTTCTTTCCCTCCGCGGCCAGTCAAACCTACAAGGCGGCCAAACTCCCCTGGCAAATATTCTCCTATATATAGCCAGCGTAGTTAGTCTGGTAGAGACCACGTTTGTTCTACCAAACAAACTTCAGTTAACATTGGAAGAAATGATGACAAAGATTTCTGTACTCTTCTACTTACTCGATGTAATTTAGGGGCCTGTTGTAGAAAAATTGATTTGTCATCCCATACTTTCTTTTAAAAAGACATTTTTGACACGAAAAACGTTGAGGCGTTACAATGCACATATTTACCTCAACACGAACTTTGGACGGTGTTTTTTGAATGCGCTCTGCCGGCCAGTGTTAGTATAGTATGAGGGTTAGGCCTAACCAATTTAATTTGTTGTTGCTCAGATTTTTTCAGAAAAAAATATGGAAATATGGAGCGACAGGGTGAAAAAAAACAGGCCAAGGCACCCCATGATAGCCGGAAATGTTACAATATGAGCCATGAAGTGAACATACCAGGCTGGTTTATAATTAAAACAATAGATTTTGAACGAAACAAAATTGCACTGAAAAAATTTAACAACTAGCAAGAAAAGGATTTTCTTCAACCGATGGAGCCAAAATATGTCCCTTTTTTGCAAATCAGAAAAAAAAATGGACAGGGCGAATCCGAGAAACAACAAATTAAATTGGTGTGGCCTTACAACAACATCGTACCGCTACCCTTTCTTTATCTGTCATTTGTTTTACAATGAATAAATATAACGTAATTTCTCATGCTTTATTCTGCTTAAAAAGATAGCTATCATTTTCACACACTTGAAAAAGTATTTCCAGATTTGCAATCTTGGTTCACCTCGGCCATGTACTTTAAAAGACAATTTTTATTTCTGACTGTAATATAAAATTGTCGCCAATCTCATCATCATCATCATCATGCCTCCGGATTATAATAATAACCTTTATTGTACATTTATGCCCTACCGGGCTAAGTACAGGCGAACAGATGAAATACAATGTAGGTAATACACATGTTTGTTGTACAAACAGCTCTAAAACTACTCTAATACAGAGGTTCGGCTTCTTCTCGTTTCTTTGTGATGTTAAAAATATAATTTTAAATGGGTTTGTATAATACAGGATGAGAAAGATAATTTTTTTCAATATTAGGCAAGTATTGGAAGTAAGGAAACGTACTTGTAATATATCTAAAAAGATCATTTCTTTCATTACTATTCAAACTACAATCAATAACTAAGTGGGCTTCGTCTTCTACTTTGTTTGAGCTAACAAATTATAAATCCGGTGAGGTACACTTGATAAAGTTACTCCAGTATGTCCTATCTCTCATAGCGGACACTAATGCAGTCCCAGTGTCTCTCTCTAACATGGACAAAAGTGTGGTATAAGGACGTCCCACTCTACGTCTCCCAGTAGGAAGCCACTGTACTAATCTACCAGCTGGTTCGTTACTACGAACAACATGCCCTGCCAGGGCGAGTCTACGTCGTCGGGCTACAGACGAAATGGGCGGGAGAGATCCATAGAGTTGTTTGTTTGTTAGATGTTGTCTCCATGAAATATTATACACTGTTCTTAACATTCTTGTATATGTACCATCTCGTTTCTTGCTCTGGGCAGAATTCTGGCCAATCTGTTTACCCCTTTTTTTATCGTAAACTGTAGGCACTTTGCGGACTGTTTGGACCTTCTAGCGGCTCGTTGCCCGGCGAACCCCGCATGATCGAACTGACGTGGCGGCTAGAGAACGGCATGCCCCACTGGCCCGGCATGGTCCCGTACAACTTCACCATAGTGGACAGGTACATATTAGCCCCCTAGCTTCACGGTACCCTATGTAAGGCCACACCAAGTAATTTTTGTGGATGACGTCAAAAGATTCAAATATTTAAAAGAGGATAACTCAAGAACCGGTTGACGGATCGTCGTGATTTTTGGTATGTGGGTAGCTTACGTGATGCTTAATATAATTATGTGATAATTATGCAAATATGGATGTAATTTGCATAATTTACGGCAAATTCTATAAATAAGCTGCATTCCATGATAAGACAATTGAAGCTTGTGACATTGGTATTTGAGAACGAGAGAAACACAGGCATATATTGATTATGTAAATGAAGACTTAATTTGCATAATTAATGAGACAATTTTATAATTCTGTAACGATAACTGCCTGGAATTTCATACTTGAAGTATTTGAAAGTTAAGTGAAGGTGAACATCATTAAACATAATTTATTCAAATCAGGACCTTATTTGCATAATTTATGAGAAAATGCTAGAATGACATTGTTTGTTAATTGTCTTTTGGTTGAGAATATGATAAAATGATATAATTCATGAAAATTATGAACCTATTTGTTAAATCAGAGAGGAATAATCAATAATTTGTCAGTCATAAAGATTAACTATCATTTGGCGAAGGTATGAGATCGGGGAACTCTAGTTGTATATGGCGTGGTGAACATATGTAAAATCTGATAAGGATTTTTTTGTGTGTTATATGATTAAAAAAAAAACTTCGGGAAAACTTTTAATCTCCAAGCAGATTTTTGAGTGGCTGCAAAAATAAACAGTATCAAATTGGCCAGCCAGTATCCAATGGGATGACCAAACAAAATATAGACTCCCCTTGCCCAAGTGAGGCCGCTTGGAGATTAGAAAACTGTATGGATTTACATTGGTAATGGTTGATTGTTTACTTCAGTATATTAGTAGGCCAAATCAATAACCAAAACATAGCATGCAAGTCGAGTCGTTATTTCACAATTAACAACAAAAGCAGCCTAATCAAGTTGTCTTTGTTTATGTTTGTCACGTGAAGAAACGTAATACCTGACGGTTTCTACTTGGAACTGAACAACATCTACCTGGCAGAGCACACCGGCACACATCTGGACGCACCCGCACACTTCATACAGGGAGCATGGCGATGTGAGTCAACTTTAACACTTCATTTCTTTTTATTACGTCCGGGGGAGGAGACATCCTTCCGCGGAAGGGTTTTGTGAGAGATTTAGATTTTCATGTTCTCAGCTGTTTGTCGCGTTTGAGTGGACGGATTTTTGGAGACTCGGTGTGTTTTACTTTTGGTGGCCCCAGAACACCCCTTTGAGCGTGAAATGGTCGCGACCGTTGACCTTTGGCGTGTTGAAGATATTCTCGGTCTGGTCCACGTATATGACCTCTCGCACAGAGGGGTGTCTCGATAAATTCTTTGTTTCTACATGCAAAAATACAATACATAGTGGTGACGCACTCAAGCACTCAAGCTTATATTCACGTCACCACCAGACATAAAATAAAAATTACATCACAAAACATGGGTAACGTCCAGGTAACAAGAGAACAGAGTCATTTCTCAAATACTCATTATAACACAGCTATATCTTTCTGAAAATAAGCGATTTAACAACTGATTTATACTTCTGTATTCATTTATAATATCATAATAGTTCCACTTCATTTCACTCTCAAATTTCCAGAGTCTGTATTTGTCTCTGTATAGCCGGTATAACCGCCCCTTGGTGTAACACATGACGTGCGTACATCATGTGCATATCTTCTAAACTACAATTTGCTAATTTAGGCCGCCACAGCAAGTAAATTGTATGGATGGCATCCTCCGCAGACTCCACATCTAATGCGAGTGAGCGAAAAAAAAAACAAGGTGGGGTGAAAAAAAAAGCAAGGTTCCCACATTTTCAAATTTTTACTCAATTATTGTACAAACAGTTTTGATTCAGTGGGAAAATCACATATACACAGCCAGCATCACACATCACTGCGTCAAAGTAAAAAAAACAACATTAAATCGGCCTTTTCTTGTTTCATCTCTTCATAGTTATCTGCCATACACGTTCCGGCATGGCAACAGACATCTTTGCCCATTTTCGGCATGTTGACCACTGTCAGAAGGCAACAAAATTTTATTGTTTCTTTTTTTCAAAAATCAGGTGAAAATCAATGCACGCGCTGATGCCATCCATAAAAATTACTTGCTGTGGCCTTACTATACTTTTTGAAAAATTTGTCTGTCAACTACAGAACAACGTACAAATCACCACTTAGCTTCTTTGCTTACGTATTTAGATATTTACATCTCGTAAATTTCTCTACATATCAGTATATCTCAGATACATACATATGTTCCTCTGAGTATACATCTAGTCCTTCGAGACAAAGCTTTCACGGCATCATGATACATACTCAATAGATATACACACACAAACCAAGGTATTATGCTACATATCATTTAGTCGCTGACAACCAAATCTATATACCATTCCACAAACAACAAAAATCTAAAACACATCATAATCAAAATGGCATACTTGCGGTATTGAAGTTTAATCTAGCGTCTTTTTTAGGGGTCACTTGTTTAAATGCAATAGCTCAATTGGTAGAGTGCTCGCTTTGTAACCGGGAGGTCGTGAGTTCTAACCCCGGCCGGGTCATACCAAAGACTCTAAACACTTCTTTCTCTGCTTAGCACTCAGCACATATGAGAAAGAATGTGGGAAGGTCAAACACACAGCACTACCAGCGGACTAGCCCCCTGCTGTAGTGCCTTGTACAACTGTGTGTTGCCCAAGGGCTACAGAAATGGATATGGGCACCAAACCCTATGCTCGGCATCAGGGCACTGGAGACCTTTCTAGTTTAAATAAAAGCGTTTGTGCTTTCGTATGTTGTATTCAGTAGATGTATTCGTACAGAGAACTTACATTTCGATTGTTACACAGTAAATCTAGCATAAAAATTATATAAAGTGTTTTTTTTGATGCTTTGACTAGTGAAAAAAAACTAAATACTTTGGCGGCGATGACCTGCTTTCTTTAAAGTTTCGTCCGTCCATGATTTAGAAACCTTCACGCTAAAAGTTTTTGATCTGCGAATTTGGCCTTCGTTAATCATCCAAGCATCATCCTTTGCCCTGGCAATGGGCATGTTTACATACTGTGGGTATGAAACGTTTCGGTAAGTTTTGTTCTTTAATGGCTGAAGTTGCAATGCAGTCTTGTACATAACGTTAGTGTGCTCTCTGGTAGCACATGAATGAACAGTAGAAAGATTACTATAGAAGCTCATTGCCTTTTCTCTAGAAAAGAGATCTCTTCGCATTCTACCATATCTACCCACTAAAACTCTACGCTTCGCTGTTGTAGGTGTTTCGTAAGATGACATGTCTGCATTTCTTGCCCTAACTCGATAATTTTGTGCCTCTGCCGCAACTCTAGAGGCTGTGCCGTATGAGGAAGGCTTACACCGTAACCAGTTTACCATAGGGAGGGTCGCCCCCGGCTGCTGAAGCATTGAAAGGTACACTAGGGTGTACCTCATCATGGCCTGCCGACAGAGGCAACTGCAGTGCCAGAGGCCACGACAGGGGGCGCCCTGCGGTGTTTTCGTAGTTGTAGTAGTCATCGCCGATTTCCCAGTAATGATGCAGAGATCCCGGCCGCGTGTTGTAGTAGTTGAAGTAGTCCTCGGGAATCTGCCAGTAGGTCCTGGAAGTCTCAGACGGTGAAGTGTCGGTGTTTTCGTACTCGTTGTAGTAGTACTCGTCTGGAATTTCGCTGTACTGCTGTTCATCACCTGAGCAAGAAGCTTGTTGGCCGACCCTACCAGTTGTCCTATCTGAACCTGCTGTACCTTGGATGATATTAACAGTGACAGCCTGGCTGTTTCCCCCAGCTATCATCCAGTGATTCAAGGAGGCAAGAGGAGAACCTACTGAGAGTTGGGCAGCCTGTGCAGCTTGGTTACCCCGTGAACAGCATCCCTTCTTTCTGACCAAAAACCACACTGTAAGCATTGCTACCAGAGTAACTCCTATCACAGCTAACAGCGTGGTTAGACCCACATGTAAGGATGGCATCTTACCCAGTACCTTCACAGTTGGAGCTGTGTAAGGAATCGTCTGATTCTCGATTTTAGAGCGTCTTGTGCCTGTTGGAAACTTCTTTTGTTCTGTTTTCTTTTGTTCTACACAGCAGGTGGCTTCGTCAAGCGTGTCTGACAGGGGTGTAGTGAAGACATGTCGGTATGTCTCCCCCCAGGCAGTGCTGACTAGACATGTCACATTCTTCGGTTCTTCAAAGCCTGTTGTAACGTTTTTACTGTAGCTATGAGTATGATTTCCGTGTTTACCGGCTGTTATATCATACAAAACTACTGCAACGTTCTGGGATCTGTTGGAGGGTCTATCGACACAAATAGGGACGATTCGAAGGTTAGCTTCTTGACCCAAAGCGATCTTTACGCCACCTGCATCTTTCCAAACATGTTTGCAAAAGCCTGTGAAGTTTTTGACTTGTTTGTCTGATTCTGTGTGGAGGAATATCATCACCAATGGCAGGTCATAGTCTATTTTGCTTTCCGTCTTAAGGCTCCGAAGCACACACTGACCCATCGCCAGATCAAGGTTCGGATGCGCTAGTTGTGGGGAGAAGTCGTGTTCCGTTTGAATGTGATATTTCCTCGTTTTATGTAATTGAGTGATACAGAAAAGTACTTCATTGACCGTCACTGCAATGCGGTGTTCAGAATATCGAGATTTTTTGTGATAAATACTCCAGTTCATCACCAGGGGGAAAGAATCACCCATAGAAAGTAGTTTATTTCCGCTGACTTTAAAGATTTGTAGTTTGTGGAGCCCCTTTACAGTTTCGCTAGGCAGGTGATTCAATGCATTACTACTTAAATCAAGGTGTAGCAACTTTGAGATTGACTTAAACGCCTTTGGGTGGATGCTTTGGATGAAATTTGATTTTAAAGAAAGATGGACTAGCCTCTCTAGTTTAAAAAACCAAGAAGGCTCAATGGTTTTCAATGAGTTATAATCGAGTAACAATACATGCATGGCAGTAAGTTGTTTGAAGCAGTGTGAATCTATGCTGCTGATATTGTTGTGTGATAGTGACAGGGAGCTGAAAATTCGTGGAAACTTCAAACTATTGAACCATTTTTGCTTGACGTGAGTCAGGTTGTTAAAGTCAAGGTTTAGAATGCTTAGCTCGGCAAACGCAGCCAGGGTAAACTCTTCTATATCTGTAATTCCACACTCAACCAGAGCAAGTGAGTGTACTCTCGACTGCTGAGGTGGTCGTATTCTCTGAACGGACAGTAAACCAAATGAGAACCCTCGAATTGCTACATACATGCTGTCAGGAGGGCACGTTAGGTTTGTTTGAGAAGGGTCTAGCGCATGTTGTTGCTGTATCTGCATGGAGCAGACCAGACATGTTACATCCAAAGGGATACCAGGACCGCTTACTTTCTCAAATGGCCTGTTGGCTCTGGTATTGGGGACGCAATTTGACCACGATGTCGTGGTACTGCACCCAGGAAAACACGTCGAGCCTAGACTTCCAGATATCACTTCGACCAGAATAAAAACAATTACAATCTGCCGCCCTACTTTCTGCATCGTAACAGGTTGTTTCGAATAAAATATAAAATCAAAGAATCTAGTTTAACTTTTCTCTGGAGTTTTGAAGATGACGCGATGGCGTATTGAACAGCTGAAATGATCTCTTGCTGATTCTGATGCGGTGTCGCTATGGCTTGAGAAGGCGAACAATTGGTCTGGTGTGTGTCCTGAAAATAAAACATATAATTATGCATATCATCATTTGCCACCCTGTGTCAACTTACTAATAGGTACTTTCACTACATGAAAACTGTGAAATACTAATAATGCTACCGAAATAACTCAGCATTTCCAACGTTTTGCAGCACAGTTTGTGAACTTTATTTTGCTGTTTATCTCTGTTTGTTTACTTATTTTACAACCGAATGTGCAATCCTAGATAAAGTTACAAATGCCCCGGTCCGCCGTACATTGTAATAGGTCCGCCGGCGGCGGGCGTGAGGTAACGTTAGGGATGTGCAAAAACATGTCGGAAAATTCCTATAACACTCGAAAAAAA